CAAGACTATCAGCACTGAGTAGTCTTGATGGATAAATGCTGCCACTGAAATCAGACACAAAAGGCTGCAATTTGAGCATGAACAGCTTGAAAGCAAATATGGGAGAAGGCTTTTTTTCCCCTCCATGCTCAAGTTTGTATATTCCCCAGAGGCATTTCATAGAATTATATGGAAGAAGCTTTCAGGACATCTGACCCAATCTCTTGCAGGATTCACTACAGCAACTCTAACACATGACTATCCAGGCTCTGTCTGAAGATCTCCAGCAATGACCCGCTGTGGAATAATTATGTCTGTTCTGGTGTAAATTATATATATGAGAGATATATATGCTTTTGATACCATTGACCATGGTATACTTCTGGGCTGGCTTTGGCGACTGGGAGCGGGTGGTGCGGTATTGGGCTGGTTCACTTCCTTTCTCCGAGGCCAGTTCCAGTCAGTGTTGATTGGGACCAAGAGGTCCGGCGCCTGGCCCCTACTGTTTGGGGTGCCATAGGCCTCGGTACTTTTCCCGCTCCTATTTAATATCTACATGAAGTCACTGAATGAGACGGTGCATCACTATGGGTGAACCATCAGAATGCTGACGAGACCCAGTTATACATTTCTGGTGTCCTAAGTGATACTGTTGACATTGTTTCTTGGTGCCTGGAGGCTGTTGGGATCTGGATGGGGAACAAAAGGCTTCAACTGAACCCTGGCAAGATTGAGTGGCTTTGGGTTTTGGGACCTTCTGTATCCAAGGGTTTACCATCTTTGGTGCTGGATGGGGTTGCACTGCCCCAAACAGACCCGGTGCACAATCTGGGGGTCCTTCTGGACTCACAGCTGCTACTCAAAGAGCAGGTGGCAGTCATGGCCAAGAGGGCCTTTGCACAGCTTCATGTTGTGCTCCAGTTGTGTCGATTCTTGGATTGGGAGGCCTTACTCTCAGTTACTCATGCCCTAGTGACCTCCCGAATGGATACTGTAATGCACTCTACATGGGGCTGATACCCTTGAAGAGTATCTGGAAACTTCACCTGGTACAGAATGCAGTAGTGCAGGCAGTTATGTGTGCTCCAAGAAGTGCACATCACACCTCTGCTCCATGAGCTGTACTGACTGCCAGTTTGCTTCCAGGTTGTTTCAAAGTGCTGGTGATGACCTTTAAAGCCCTACATGGCATGGGGCCAGATTATTTGAGGGAGTGCCTCTCCCCAATTACATCTACCCATCCCAACAGGTCCAGCAGAAGGGTCATGTTGTGGGTCCCATTGGCCAAAGAGCTTTGTTTGGCAGGATTCAGAAAGAGAGACTTTTCTGCTGTTGCACCTGCCCTCTGGAACATCATTCCCCCTGAGGTGAGATGGTCCCCAACCTTCTGGCCTTCTGGAAGGCTCTTAAACCTTGGATGTGCCATGGGCTTGGGGATCTCAAGGATATATGGAACCTGTTAAATGGTTATATTGTTAGAGTGCATTCTCCTCTTTTTATTATTATATTTTAAATATAGTTTTTAATTTTTAGTTGTTTTTAATGGTAGAAGATTATGATTTCACTTGTGTTTTAACTATGTACACTGCCCTGAGTCACATGCAAGTGAGATGGGCAGCCATATAAATTTAATAAATAAATAGTACACAGACACACACACACACATATATAATCCTTACCCCTTATCAGTGGTACTGCAACTACAAAAACAAGTTATACAAGTTACATGCTTGTATAGCATGTAGGTGGGTTGGATAGACATATTCTTATTGTACCTAAATTAATTGCAGTACAATGCAGAGTCTGCTACCCAAAATTAGAATGGCTTTTTTTTCCTAATGTGTTAATGGCTATAATTCAGACAGATGTGTAACTATAATGTGTATAAGTAAGTTTATAGATGCAGTTACGTATTATCTTACCCAGTTTTTCCAACACCCATAAAAATTTCCACATATCAGTAATCAAGTGCATCCTACTTGTTGTAAATACACAGTACTGGCTTTCCCTTTTTCTTCTCTATAAAAACAACTGCCAGATCTTTTATGCCCTGAATTTAAATTTGCAGAAATTAATTTGGAATTTAGAGTAGTTCATGTAGCATGCAAGCTGCCTAAGGAGGAGGAGGAAGAGGAGGACAAAATATAGAACTTAAATGATTTTTATTTTTAAAATAACAGCTTGAATTCAGGCTCTAAATGCCCAAGTGACTCTCTATTTTTGGACAGAAAGGTGTTTCTAAGGAAAAGAAACTACATAAGGGAAAACATCTGATCTACATCCTATACTTCCAACTTTTGTTGCATAGTTCTTTCCAAGAACTGAGATTTGTGCTAAATACATCCTTGCTCAGCAAAAACAGATGGCAAGATTCTTTATTTTTTAGAAAAACAATTGAAATTGTGAAAAAGACAATTTTACTACAGATAGAAATTTTTATCACAGTTGTGCACCACTTTGGATTCAAAGCAAAAAGATGGTTCAGAACATTTTCTACCATGAGTGTCCCACTGTATCCTATTTCTTGCTACTCCCTAAAGGTAGCCATGCTTTATTCTGTAGTGATGGGGTGAGGGAAGCCTGTTGGAGTCTCCTTTCATATGAACCTCTAGAACTACACAATTTCCAAGGGCTTGAAGGTTGCTCCAGGCTCTGTATGGCAAGTTGAAGCTGAAATCCAAAAGTGGATAGGGTCGGGGCAGACGCTTAAGGTATGCATTTCCCCTCTTAAAAGCTGAAATCAGGTGGGTCACAAATGGCTTCAAGACCACACTTTTTACATCTCTGTTCTGGAAGGTGGTAAAAATTCCAAGATTTAACTGAAACAATTCTCTTTTTTAGCAAGTTTGACTTGTCTGTAGCTTCCATATTTCCACAGCCATGCCTTCTCTTGAGAATGAATTGCTGCAGCTATCTGTATATGTGTATGTATTTCCATCACAAGTTTCTTCTTGACTTTCCTTTCTTCCACTTCATTATTTCATCATCAGTAATTTCATCAACCTGGTTCTCAGCCAACTAAACCATTATGTTCCATTTCCTTTTGACTATCCAACATCCACGCCTGTTTAGCACTCAAGTTTCACCTTTATCCTCCTATCTGTCAGCAATAGCTGTTTCTTCCTGAAGGTCTTCTGGGTGCCATTTCTACAGCAACCCTTTCCACAAAGTTTTCTTTCTTAAGTTTCCTCTTGTTCTTCTTTTTAATATTCTTTCCCTGGATTCATGGAATTTTCACTCTATGTTCATCCACTCTTCAGCTGCACTCTATCCCTCTCAGCTTGGAACCTTTCAGTTAGCGCTCCAGCTTTCAGCCTAACCACATACTCCCTACTGGTTTTCTTTTTCTTGTGTGAGGTTTTAATCTCTATCAAGCAGATAACTTTCCCTCTGTGAAGATGGACTGAAGATATTCTGTTGCAAATAACTTCATCCAAACATTCTGGCTAGAACTCTCACAAGCATTCTGAAATATACAGAAGAAACATAAAATCACTTGCACAAACATTATTTTATTATTCATTTAATGATTTTTTTCTACACCAACTTTTAACTTTCAAGGCATAGTGCTTTAAAAACTTAATGAAAAAATAAACTTCAAAGTATTCTGATACCATTTAATTTTAACCAAGAACCAAATGCAACTACAATTTTCAACCTATGAAATAAATTATAGATAGTCCATAAAATAAAATAAAATTCAAAATCTAAGGCCTTTACTTTCAGAAAACATCATTTAGTTAACTATGAAATGAAGTTAAAAAAAAAAAAAAAACCTTTGAAAAGGAAAATGAGGATCCAAGGAGAAAACATGCTCCAGGGAGTGAGTTTTTTTCAGTATGTACACTGGGTGGTACACAGATATAATTGTTATTGCCCTAATATGCCCCCCCAATATGCGCTGGATGCATTTGCACAATGCTCTTAGCCTGGTTACTGAATTAGCCCTTCTCTGGGTTCTGGCTGGTTGGTCATCCAACTGAGCCATATACATTAAAAAAACAACAACTAATGAATGTTAATACTAAGCTTAGGATGTGCAAATACATCATTTAATCTCATTAAGCGTGTTGTGTGAACACAAACATCTGGTCTCCCAAGCTCTAAAGAGATACACCCACCAAAACAAGGTATTAGTAATTGGAGCTGAAGTAGTGTTTGTCACAGTGGAAACGAGTAATGTGTCCGATCCCTTAAATACAACAGAGAAAAAAATCCCTGTTTTTATATAATCCCCTATTCAACTATGCTTAAAGAGAAATCCAAGCAGAAACATCATGACACTCACACTCAGCTCCTCCTATTCTGCAGAGGATGGTAAATTTTTAAGGCTACCCTGAAAAGGATACATATATGTCTTCCCAATATCTCCCATTATATTAAGGGGCATATAGATCCTGTCAAGCATAAGACAAAAAGATAACGTCAAAATCTTCCGTTGAAGATTGAATCTGAGTAAGATTCAATACACACAGCCCAATGTAACAGGCAGTTAATACAGAACTACTTTTTTCCTGAGATATTGGTTGCCCTGTAATCTGCTGTGAATAACAGTGCCAATAAGCTGGATGCAGAAAGTTCCAGACAATGAAACGACTAAAAAATATGCATGCAAGTGCCGGTCATCTTAAAAAGAGGAAGGGTGTATCCGTGTGAGCTATCCAGAAACAATTTCAGTAACATAAAGTTAAGGTGATTTAACAAAAAACAAACACTGAGTACAGATGGGTATTTGGACTACTCTTTGTCATCTTTGAAGATTCTTAAAGTTCAGTGAGGACTCACTTTCTAGATAAGCCCACAGTATATGGGTATATACTGCAGATATCATGCAGATATCTAAAACTATGGCAAAGGCCATTAAAATGTCTCTCTAATTCAGGACTCAACTCAGAGATTTCTGAGCCTTTTGTTTCAGAGAATGCCTTTGCAATGAGTGGCAGACACAATGGAGTAGTGAAGCTTCTACAGAAGGAGAAAAGATATGGGAAAGTTATGAGGTTGGTTATACTTGCCATGTTAGCGGAAATGCTCTTTCGTTTTATCCTCATGATTTTTCTAGTAACTAGCTGTTATCATTTTGACCAAAAGTGTCATAGAAGATTGCAGTGAAATTAACAAGAAGGTTCTGAAATGATAAAACATGTCCTGATGATTAAATATGTCTCACACATTTGAAAGTGCTCAAAATATGTAGCCTTTAAGTGCTAGTTCCTATCACCTTTCTTGTGGTGATAACAAGCTTGTTCCATAAACATGCCATCACAAACATGAGCAATAAACATCTAGAACCAAGAAGCTTAGACAAGCAAATGCATTCACAGGTATAGTCAATAAATTGTATTTTTATAGTTCAGTTCAAGAACTTCAATTACTGCTACTGCATGGGAATATCTGAGCCAATTACTTAAGATGGACCTTTTTATGAATGCAGCTGTGGGCTACATCTCTACAGCTGAAATTTCACAACTCCTAAGCCAAAAGATGGTTATGTTTCTGCTCTTATAGCATCAGTAGATTGCCAGCCAAATGTCTATTTAAGGTGGCCCAGTCCCTGCTGGCTAGGGAGAAGATGGATGAACATCTATAGCACTGATGTGAGGACTATTTGAGGCATCTGCTGGATAAGGTCATTTGGATTAACTTTGGGTGGGACTCCAGCAGTGCAGGTCATATGAATTGATTGAAGCACAATCTGGCTTGGTCAGCCAGGAGAAGTTGGAGCCTGCTGTTGGGTTGGATCCTTGAGCAGCCACCCATGTAATTAAATCCATGTGTAGAGAGTAATGAAGATGACCTGGATGGAAATATACAGAACCATTACCTAGGCAAAAGGGGTTGAAGTATTTTTGAAGTCCAGAAAAACGAAATAACATTTGGCTCAGACAGATACTTCCCTAATTCACTGAACTATAAAATGGAGGAGGAAGAGGTGCAGCACAATCAGACTTGCAAGATTCCATTATTCTAGCCAATATCAATAAAAGTAGTTTTAGCCTTCCTGTGGGGTTGGTTTCCTGGTCTGGTCTATCTAGTGGTGCTGATTCCATGCTGTTCCTGGTTAGTCAAAATCTCCCAGGAGACATTTGTGCTCAAAATATGTAGCCTCAAGTTCTACTTCCTATCACCTTCTTTGTGGTGATAACAAGCTTGATCCATAAACATGCCATCACAAAACATGGCTTGTTGGGTCTGGGTGGTGGTGAATTTATTTTTGAAGAAAGTCTGTCTTCTCTTGGTGAAGCCATCACTGGACCCAATAGATATTTTTTGTTGATATGTCCTGGAATTATGTCTATTTTTTTTTAAGTGGTTTCAATTCAAATTTTGATTCTAAGCACTGTTTAGTTCTTACCAGGACTTTTGAGGGTTTTTTTTTTTTTTAACATGACCACCGCATATAGTAAAATCTTCCTTCTGTATCACGGCATTTCCAACATTTATCACTGTATAATTTCTCTATCGTGGTAATTATTGGCAGAGTTGTATACCATTTATAAATATTTTGTACCAGTTGTCTCTTAAATTATAACTTGAATTTAATGATTTGTTCCATAGTTCTTTCCATTGTTGTATTGTGATTATTTCTTTGAAATTTTATATCCATTGTATCATACAATTGTTGATTTGTTCTGTCTCTGTGTCACATCTAAGTAACCGTTTGTATATATATGCCCTAATATATGGTCTTGATTCTGTATGAGTTTTTCAAATTTGTCATTTTTCTTAGAAATCTTCCCTCATTTTTGGGGTCAGTTTTTATTCTTCCAACAGTTTGAATGTACTTCAGCCATGGTATATCCTGGCCACCAAATAATTCTTGCTGTGTCTTTAGTCCATTTATGGAATCTAAAGGGACCATATCTGTGTATGTGAATTCACTTTTCTTGCTATAGTTATCTCCAGCATGAAAAGCATTTAAAGGAGAAGCTCTCAGTAAAATTGTTGGACTTATTTTTCTTATCAAGTTCCATACTTTCATCAAGCAATGTCTTTTGTCATTTTAAATGTTTGTCCTCTTTCATGTCCATGTACCACAAATATCTATGAAGCCCATTAGCTTGGCTGATTCCTTCCAATCTTAGCATTTCACAGTTTGGGGATTTTATCCATTCTGTTAGCCATGACAAAACACTTGCTCTGTAATATAATTAGAAGTTTGGAAGAGCAAGACCACCTCGGTCTTTTGGGTCTTGTAACATTTTAAATTTTGCTCTAAGTTTTTTTTTTTTCCCAACCCCACATACTGTTCATTTATTAACAGGTTTTTGCATTTTTGTAAGGTTTTTTTCTGGGACTGGAATTGGTGCCATTTGATACAAGTAGTTTATCTTGCATAATACATTCACCTTAATAGCTGCAATTTAAATGCATCCTTCCCAGAACGTTCCAGAGTGAGGGCAAGAAATATTGTTGCCAGCTCATGTCCTCAATCTAACTTAGCTTTCTGATGATGTTTCCACACTTTCCTCCTAAACCACCAAAATGTCTCTACATTTCACAACCTGCAAGCAGAGAATTAAGCTGTAGGTGAGAACAAATTTAGCTCGGTTTTAGGATGGATCCTGAATATTTATTATATATACATATATACATACATACATACATATGAATGACAGTGCCTAGGATTCTTCTTTCCTTTTTGATAGGATTGGGATGAGGGAGGATGAACAGGAAAGAGAAGTCTTACTATATTAACAGAATTCAATTCACATATGTTAAAACCTATAACCTACAAGTTACTTCTAAGTCCATATGTCCTTATGTAATTAAGTTTACATACCACAATTTGGTCCTATATGGGGTTTTCTGATATGGAATTAGTAGCACCATCTAAAAACAAGTCCTTGATATGCATGACACACCTAAAGGGAAAGGCAGTCAGAGACTGTTCCAGTGGGGAGTATACACAATACCTGCCTCAGTCTAGAGCAGAGGGGCTGACCAGTGTGCACTGCCAAAATGTTTTGTTCAGTTGCTCTGGCCTGCTGAGCTTCTTTTTGGATCCACCGGCATAGCTTCCCTCCACTCATATCCCAGTTTATTATGATTCTATACATGCATTTGGCAAATCTTATTTTAGAATACAGGTGGCTACATCTGTTTTAACTTGGGAACTGCCTCTCCCAAGGTATATTACTGCTGTAATACTGCACTGATCTGTTGCCCTCCAATTTCAGCAGTACCAGTCAATGCTGATACGTAAGTATGGATTTACAACTAGAACATTTTTAAGAGTAGTTGGATCCTTTCAAATGAAACTCACCCTTGTGGTGATTTTATGGACTAATCCATGTGATTGTTTTGGCAACAGTGTAGAAGTGATTTGTCACTGTCTGCTTCCAGAATTTTGTTTTTGTTTTGGACCTCCAAATCTAGTTTTTTTGGTTCAAATATTTACCAGGTCCAGCCTCGTTTAGCTTTTCAAATCTGGCCATATCTGATAACTTCTCCAACTTGTCCTTCATATGTGTTGCACTTCTACTTTCATTATGTCAGAATTATAAGAGTTGAAATCTAAAGATTGTAGAAAGCTGGGTTAGATATATTAGTAGAGAGCTGCCAATCATCGATTTCCTTTATACCACTGCTGACTGCAAAGCTATATAAAGGTTAAACTATAACAGGTCCAGTGAACATATAAAATGCACTCAGTCCTTAGGAAGTATTAAAGCATCACAAAAGGAGATTAGCCCAAAAAGATTCTGCAAAAGGCAACAAAGAAAAGTTTCCTGATGGATTTGCAAGAGCATCCATCATGCAGCTGTCTGAATCTAGGCAAGCATCCATCACAGAATTGTCTGAAAGCTGCTAGCAAAAAGCAGCAAATCTTATTAGTCAGACTTCCAAATGAGTTTAACATTATAAAATGTTCAGTACTTAACACACAGCATAGGGTCCACCTGCAAATATCATTTGCAAAATTCCACCGTAACAAAAATTCACATGGCCTTCTCCTATGATCCTAACAGAGGTAGGAGTGTTTTCTAGCCAATTCAGCCCTATTTCGGTGAGCCAGTTTTCCCTACACAGTTCTGTGCTGCTGGATTGAGATTGTGTAAATCACCCATCATACTGCCTTTCCCATGAACCCAGTTTCCTCTCCCTTCTCCCTCTTTGCCAGAGAGTCATGCAACCATGGCTTCCCCACCTGGCCTGTTTCTGGCCCACTGTGGTCCCAACAGTTTTGAACCACATATGCACACAAGTGTAGGGGAGACACAAGTACTGCTCAGGAAAGTCACCCCAATTCTTTTCCACCACTCTGAGATTTATCCAACTGATAAAGAGAAATCTTATACAGAAACATTTTTTCATACCTTGACATAACTATAGAAAATTGAGCCATCTCTAACATCAATCAATCACTGGCGCTTTTTTTTTCCCTCTTAAACTTGTGTTTCTAGCATGCATATTTAGTACTAAGCACATTTTAGTTAGTTAAACCTCTGAGTTGTCCAAAAGCAGAAGTGCTACTGAGAAATACTAGTGCATGAATGGTTCACAAACTCTGTGGTATGGTGACCATTTAAAATGATACATGAATCTGAATTATACCCTCCCACCGTGAATAAAACCAATGATTTAATTGGTGTTAGCATTGGGAAGGAAACATACTGTATCACTTTTAATAACAATTAAAATTTAATCCACATATCATGGGTATTCTCTAAACTTTGGATAGCAGCAACTGTCCACTGCAGGCTTGTGTAGGCAAAATGAGGAGGAAAGTTTTGATAGTGTTAAGTTCAGTTAGGTTCTGGGTAAAAAAAAAAAAAAACCTGACTCAATATACAGAGCACAGAATTGGCTGAAAACTATATTGCTGATCAAAATGACAGCACTGTTCATGTCCCCTAATCTGTCACTTGTGTTCCCAATAAGGAAGAGGACTGTTCTTGTTGGCCAGATGAACACAGAGTAAATGGTAATAGGCAGAAGTATAATCCACTGGTATGCCAGCTACCACTAATTCATCTTTACTGGACGTTCATAATTTAACTGAACCCTCCAGGTATGAGCATGTTAATTCTGAAGGGAGGCATAGAAGCCATGCTACATACAAATCATATATATTTGATCAGGAATTGTTGGAAACAGCATGATGCATATTGTGCCAATTTGTGATAAAGGGAATCTAGGAAACAGGATGCACCTGCTCTCTGAGTAAAAGTGCAAGGTTGCCAAGGTGAGACATAGGATTTTGGCAGCTGAGGCAGAAAAACCTGTATGCCTTTTCTCTACCCTTGGCAGTAAAAAGACAACCACAATAAGAAATGTAATAACGATCTATTGCCTTGGCACGGCCCCCAAATCAGCTGCACATCCAATATATACAGTATATATCAGGTCATCATTTAATATAATTCTCTTGAATCTTGGTATGCCTGTGGAGCAGACCTATAAATTAAAATATCAAAAACAAAGCTAAAGGAAATAATGATAATGAAAAATAGGAGTTGATTCCTTATTTTAAAGGAGTAGCTTCCTTATTATGCAGACAAGAAGAACGATGCATTTTTGCTCAGCAGCACTAAATGTGTCCTGCCTGAAATAAAATAATGAAAATAGGGTGTAAAATGAGACACAACTTGTTTACAGAGAGTGAGAAACTGACCTGAAATTCTTCAACTGAAGCTGTTAATGAACAATGAGCAAGTAGTGGCAGCATCTAGCTGACCCTGAGCGATCTTGGAAAATTGGGCAAGGTGGACGTAGTTCATATTTCAGTAGGAGGCCATAATAAAGTAACAAGATGGTCAAAAAGACTGGAAAGTCAGAAAACCACTATTACCAAGAAAGCTAATGTATACATCTATGAAATTACAAGGATTTGAGCTCAGCTTAAAGGAGACCTTATTTTTAGGTAAGGCTACCATACCTGGGCTGCAGAAATCCGGATGGCCACTAGATGCCAGCAAAAGGTTCGTGTTTTCATATTTCTCTGCTTCCATCTAATGGTCATTTGAAACCTGGCTATGGCAGCCCTGTTTTAGAACTGAAAGGATGCATATTGTTCTAACCATGATGAAAATTGTTCAGTTCACATCTAGGGAAGAAGCACAGCTACAGTTCCATTTAAAATCTTACAACTGAATAGCTTGTGGTGGGCAAGCATGCAATGGATTCCTTTTGTTGTTCTACAGATACTTTTTCTGTTTTCTTTCCCCCACCCCACCTTTTCCTTTTGCTTTTTGAAGCACTCTGGTCTGGCTCAGCCAAATGGCATATTACAGCCCCATCGCTCTTGGCATTTTGAATGGAGACCGGTCAGTGACCAAGGCGATTACAAGTCCAGGATCTTTTCAAGAAAAAAAAAATGGTTTAGAAACATACAATTGGATTGAAATCATAATCCCTTCCCGAAAGCCAACTGGCTTTTCAAATCCAGAGGCTGAACAAATGTGTCTGGCAGCCTTTCAGAAAGAAAAGCAGAAGAGACTACAAACCATAAACCTATTCCTTTATTTTTCTTTCAAGGTTGTAATACATTATAATATACTTAGGTCCTTATCAATTTTGGCCTGAGTCAAGTTCATATTCATCTCCGGCAACTGAGAACCCAGGGGACATCTTAAATTTCAGATATACTAGAAATGAACTGTAAAAACTACTAGTAGATATAAAACATACTTAGCAGCCTGCTTTCGATGCAGTCCACTTGGATTGATGTTTTTGAAAACAGCATATTATGTCATCTGAAAAACATAAAAATATTGGTACCTGTGTGGTAAAACCTGAATATTTTAATCAAACATTCTTAGGTTCATTTCATATGAAGAAACAGCTTGTATGGGTCAGATATAGACATTTGTCTTGCTTGAGGCCACATGATTTTTTTCAGTCGGAGGCCATATTTTATGCTCCCCCACGCCTTCAGGGCCACAGCGACATGACCAGTGATGTGATGTCAGTGGAGGGAAGGCTTATAATTTTGGTGTGTTTTTTTTCATTTATGGAGGTGGGAGTTCTTTTAAGGAAATACAGATGAGTTAAGCCTGAGGATTATGAATGTGCTCCTGGAAAGGAAATGTTTTTGTTCAATGGTTCACCAGAGGTCAAATGTAGTTGTTGGAATGATGCAAGCACCAAATATTTATCTTCTTAGTGTGTAATGGCAACTGCCAATTAATAGGATGAGTTGCTACATGCTAACAAACTGCATAGGTGGACGTAATTTCAATGACTTCCAACTGTTGGTCATCTTTGTGAAGTAAACATTTAATTACAATATGATAAAGTATACACAATTACGTGTCTCAATCCATGTTGATCTCACGAGCTTTCCATTTCATATAACCAGTGTGTTAAAACATACTATATTTTCCAACTCAGAATTAGACACTCTAGTAACGTTCAGGAATCTATTCAAATTCCAAAGCAAATCCTTAACAAATGTTATCTCAGTTTTATTTGGGTATTCTGTGCTTCATAATCATGACAAAGTGTGCATTACACAATTTAAAAAAGACTGATTATATAAACAACTAAAATTATTAGCCAGTAAAAATTCCATAGTATTTGAGTCAGGAGTTTAATTGCTAGCCAATCTGGAATGTGATCAAAAAGCTAGAGCTATTTTTACACACTGCCCACATGCATTCCTCTTGCAGTATCTATTAGTTTGAGAACTTGTCACTTCTTGCCCTGAATAGCAAAAAGCATGTTGTGATTCTTTGTTACATGAGGGAAAAACAACTTTAGCATGTTACTTTTTGTTCTAATTGCTCCATAGTTCAACCCAGACAATTGGTGTGTATTTAAGTAATCGCTGGTATTGAATTGTGGTTGAATAAAAGGAGGATCATTATCCTGAGAGATAGAAAAAGGTGGATGGGGCAAGGGCATTCTGTTGACATTGTTAAAGGGGTATGATCATGACAGTATAATTGTTGGATTTTGATATTAGCAGCCACACATGTTGACATTGGCCGCTTAGTAGTCATGCAGTGATATGTTACTTGCAGAGACACCACTTTTAGTAAGGATCCCTTCCACTGCCGTATTCAATGACAGTGAACTGAAAAGAAAGTAAAAGAAACCACCCTTGCCTCTCAAAGTGTGTGTTAGTGCAGTATTGTATTTTGGATTGTGAACACAGAAATTAAGGACAGTTATACAATTCAGGACTGAAAATGATACCAGCACATCACCATACATATATACACATTATCAGAGTTCACAAGAACAAATGATGTATTTATCATATTTTTTGCAATGAATAGATATAACACATCTAAACAATCCAGTCCCATACAATATTGGCACCTACATTTTCACCATACAGTGGAAATTATTAAACTATAAGCTCTCTTCAGTCTCAGGATTCTTGTAGCTATATAAGGTTTTCTTACAGGAGAACAATACTTTTTTTAAAAAACCAATCTTATTTACTGAATTATGCCTGTGCATTTCAGTTGGTAAAATGAAATGCTTGTGCATTTCAGTTGGTTTGCTAACTAGACTTTAAATTAAAAATTTTAAGGTACATAGAGTAATGTGAGTATGCTTGGAGTAAAATTGGACTTTGGCTGTTCTTGTGGCATGGTGGTCAAAATATGCCCCAAATAACTGTTACTGTCATTACTGTTAGCAGGGGCTGCAATATTTAGCAGAGCTGTGACTGAGACTAATAACTTAATTTACTTTTTTTTAGTAAGAGAAAGCTTCAATTGACCAAAGCCATGATGGATATCCGAGATCAACATTCAGAGGCCCATCTGTTGTTAACCAAAGTCTAAAGAAGATTCAGCTCGGAATGTATGTGGAGCATGAATTAACAAATGAAATAACAGAATGAATAAATAATTATGTTGTGTGTCAGTGAAACCAAGAATAAGGAGAAGGACGTAACAGATATGAATAAAGATGGTCTGTCCTGTGAAATGGAGTTGATGAATACATGCAGGGAAGTGAAGGTGTAGGCTTAACTATGAATGAAAAGGCTAAAATGTATTGCAGAAAGTATGAATAGATTCTTGTGAGTATATATGAAAACAGGAATTTATAGGTTGGTGATAATTGTATATTATACTCCAGTAAACAACGATAACAGAGAACCAGATAGGAAAATCACATAAAATTCTTTTTTTTTTTTACATGAACAAAATATCTTCATTTATTTACATTCTAATGTTCTAATAGACATGCACACACACACATACATAAAATTTTTATTATACCGTTTAATTGAAGTAATAAAAACTAATACAAACTAAACTCAGAGAGAGAAAAAAAAGAGAGAATAAAAAGTGTAAAGAACGAAAAAATAGAAAGAAAAAAGAAAAGAAAAAGCAAAGAGTGACGTAAAGAAAAATAAATATATAAATATAAAGAAGTGACTTCCAGTCTTCATCACAAGTATAAACAAGCAAAATTCTTAAGGAATGTGGTTTACGAAAAGATTATTCTGTTTGGTGACATGAATGGATGGGTGGGAATGAGATGAAAGAATACTGAGTGAAAGTGGTGACTGGTGAACATCGTTTTAGAAAAAGGTCTGTTTAAATATGTGGTTTAAACATGCTTCTATTCACAAGTACACAGAATTAGGGGATGGATCCAAGTGATTGTAATTGTTGATGGGTTGGAGAGTGTTCTTCAGGGAACCAGAATTTTGGGGGGTGCTGGTTTTAGAATATCTCTTGCTTTTTAATTACCATTTTGTGAGCCACCCAGAGTTGTGACACATAAGGTAGGCAGCCATTCAAGTTTTTTAAATAAATAAGTAAATGTCAAAGGAGTTAATAAAAAACATGACTGGGTTGTTTCTGATGAAAGACTGAGAGAATTAGTAAAGGATACATGGGTGATTAGAGGGTTTAAATGTGGGATAGACCATTACTTTGTACAGGCAATGGAAGACCTTGGGGGGAAAAGGGGGGATAAGGAAGAAAAGGAGAAAAGTAAAGAAAGTAAAGGGAAAGTAGAATGAATACAAGAAGAGAAAGTATTAATCGTGTATGAAAAATATTAGAAGACAAGGCAATCTATCTATCCAGAATGAATGGAAAGTGTAGGTGGGGAAAGGGGATGTGGAAGTTGCTTGAACACAGTGATAATTGCAATGTTACGCTGAAGAAAAATGTATGGAATGGCACAGAAGTGCATGGAAATATGCTCACAAAAGGATCTCTAGTGGAAAGATGAAATGAAGGAGCTGAGGATGATTTTAAAAAATGCATATAAGAGAATGATTGCTGCAAAAATGTGGATAAAAGATGTGGTATACTATGTACAGACAGAAAAAGTTGAATGAGGTATAAATAGGTTACTATAGATGTGTGTGTGTGGTAAGACAAGGTGGGATAAGGTCAGGAATAAATGGGCCCTGAATGGATGTGGACTGAATGCAAAAGTATGAAACTGACGTGAGTGGATGAGGATGAATCGCAAAACAAGTATATGAAAGAAGAGTTATATGAAGACTAAAACTAAGAATGCTGTGATTGAATGGAAATGACGAGATCATAGAAAAGAGAAGTTAAAAGAACAAAGGCAATCTATGAAGTATGGTATGGATAAGTTGGAAGCAAGGGTCATCTGCAAAGAGAAAGGAATGGCAAGGTATAGCAAATTGTATTGGTATAAAGCAGACTTAGCTATTTTTTCTTTCTATTACTTCATGTCTCTAATTCCCATTGCTTATCACTATAATGCTGCAGACTCGAGATGGGAATAGTAGTATGATGGGTATGTTTGTACCATTTATAGAGGATTTATATGTTATGTGATAAAATATAAAAAACACAAATATTTAAAGGAGAGGAGTCTCTTAATTCATGGCCTGCAACCTTAACTGTCAAAATTCCTTGATGAAGGCAACTCTTAATACATGCCACTTAATGCTGTTTTCTTATAAGTTGGGATTCTTCTTTGTGACCTCAGACATCATGCTTTGGATTTTAAATTGTTTTTCACCTTACATGCCATGCCGAGTCACTGCCGTGAGATGGGCAGCCATATAAATCATATAAGCAAACAAACAAACTTGAAAGATGTCATACAAAAGGTCAACCTACTCTCTATTGTTCCAGACTACAGGACTTTTCTATTGGAAAAAGGCAGCTTCTGATTTAATGCAGAGGGAGGAAAAACCCACTCCTAACAGTAACAGCAATTTGACAGCAGAATGAATTACCCATATTGGCTTCCATTCACTGAATATATTCAAAAAGAGGCTAGGTGACCATTTGCCAGAGATACTTAAATGCAGATACCTTCATTAAACAATCAGCTGAGCTCAATGGAGTTTATTTCTGAGTATAGACAAGTATAGGATTTTCACTATAAATTGACTCAATAAGTCTATCTGCCAAAGTGAGTGTGATGTCCTGAGAATGGTCAGGGAGTAAACTGCTGTTTCTTTGCCCAGTAATGTCTTTCTATGCTTGGGATCATTCAACAAAGTGCTAACAATGTGTTATATTTGCAAGATCACACTGATGCTTTTCTCAGATCAACTCTCCCATTTCAAATAAATTTGAATGATTTGTCCTTTACTGAAAATAGAGGTAGAAACAAGATCATTTGTGGAATGAACTTATCCTCCCTTCTGGATTCCTTTTATGTTCCTTTTTTTCCCTTTCTTCCGGCTTCTGCTCCCTCCTCCTCATTTTCCTTTATTTATCTTCCCATTTCTACCACTAATAGAAATTTACCTCCATAAGGGCAAAGGCTTTGTTCCTGTTGGTTAGCC